GTTGGTTTGGAAGTTCATTGGGTTTTCTAGTAAGCAAGAAAGAAATGAGGAGTATTGAAGAAGGTGGTAAGGTATGTTGTTTGGTAAGAAAGGACTCGCTAATTTTGATAACTATCTTATGGCTTTGCTTTGTTGGGAAATTTGGAAAGGGAGGTGCGAATGGGTCTTTAATTGTAGAAGAGTGAGTGCCAAATTTATAGTTGATCATGCATCTCATGCTATTGAGGAATTTTGGAATGTTAGGTTGAAAGTTAATGACTCATTGCATTCTCTTCTTGAGTCTCGTCTTGACATAGTTGTGAGTTGGCACCCTCTTCCTTATGGTATAATAAAGATGAATGCGAATGGAGCTTTCTTTTTGCACAACAACATGGGGGTGTTGGAGTGATGTGTAGAAATAGGGATAGTGTTTTTTTGTAAAGGGCATATTAAAGAAAGTTGTTACTTTTTCTACTTTTTTTTTAGTTGAGTGTTAGGCTTTAGTTGAGGCTTTAAGGGCTAGTGGCAAGTTTATAAATGTTGAGATTTGAATTGAGATAAATTAAGAGGTTTGTTTAAGATCATTTCTTATAGATCTGTGGAAGGGTATGATTGGAAGTCTTAAATTATGCTTCGTGATATTTTTTTTGTTTCCTTGAATCAAGGCCTAATACCTATTTCTCCTCAGTTTAACACCAAGGGAATGTTATTGTTGACCTATTAGCAGTTATGAGTATAAGGGAGATTTATCCTAATGGATGGCTTGTTAAAGCTTCATCTCCTTTAGTCTAGTTGCTTTTAGCATATTCAAGGAACTTTAGCTTTTCTCAAGGTGTAGTTAGTGATTTTCATAGACGTGAAGGTATTGGTTGACTATCTAGACTTAGGTTTATTTTATTAGTTTCCTTTGTATTTCTTTATTGCTTTTTATAGGTTGTACTATTAAGTTTTACTTGCTTTGATATGTTATACTTCTAGGCTTTGATTGGTAGGAAGGATTGGGAAGGTAGGATTGGGATTAGATAATCTTATCTTTTCATGGTTGGTATAAGGGAATGAGAAATTTAATCCTAATTCCAATTACATGCTAGTGGGATTACTTAATATCGCCACCCTCTAGTACCGAAAAATCAATCATAGAATTGATTATTTTCAGACTAAATAATCCCCATTCTTTCTCCCCATGCCCTTTACTCAGTCAATGTCTTTAGACTAAGCAAATCACAAGTGACACTACATTAATGCTGGCCTCTCCCCCATCGGGGTTAGCTTCTCCTTTGCTGACACAGTTGCCAGATTTGAAAGGAGGAGATTGAAGACGATAGAAGGAGGAGAACGAGAGACAACCTAAGCCTAACAAATCATCGTCGTCCTCACCGTCATCTGTGTCCTTATTGTTTTAAGTACTAAAGTCTCCTCCTTTATTAAATCTTAGTTCGAAGCAAGTTAGGGCTTGAGATTTATCAAAAACCAGGGAACGAAGTATAGCTTTCACAATTCTCTCTCTACTGGCTTTGTTCTTTTACTACTTAATGAAAAACAAGAAGAGCAACAAGGAAAATAAAAGATGAATATGACGAGAATTTACCAAAAATAAAGGTACAAAGTATTGCTTTTATTATTCTATCTCTACTCTCAACTTCGTTCTTATATTGCTTAATGAAAAGCAAGAAGAGCAACAAGAAGAAAAAAACAAGAGAAGGAAGATGACAAGGAGGAGGGATGGAAGGAGCCTTCATGTGTGGTCAAAGAATAGAGTCGATGGCCTTTTTGCATGTCAATCTTTAGGGAGAAGGAGAGTGATCAAATGAGTTAGGGTTATAATTTTTTTTAATTTTAAAAGGTATTATAGTCTTTTCATAATTTATGTTTAATTATAAATTAAAACAAAGATAGGTATCCCTTATAAATATTACTTCATATCAAAAATAATTTTAAAACCTTATTCCCATTTTCATTCCTACTATCAATACCAATTTCAATCCCAATGCTTCTAAACTGATGCCTATGTACCAAATGGGCCAAAGGTGTTTTTTCCTGGCTTTCTTGATTAGTGCTTGTAATGGACCTTTTTTTTGTGATTAATAAAATGGGCTTCCTTTGGTGTTAAAAATTTTGGTGGCTCTGTCCATGGCTTTGTTCTCAAGTCCTCGGACTTGACTTTCACACTGGTTGGATGTTGTTCTTCGTACAAAGTTTTTTTTTTTAACAGAATTTCCATGTAAGTCGAGTTTCTCTTACAACGGAAAATGGTTAATTTCCAGTCACTGTTTGTATTTACTTCATTCTCTCTCATGTATATATAAACTCGAGTGTTCATTTAATGAAGTCAAGTTTTTTCTCCCTCAATTCATCTCAATCCTCTCTATAATATCCCCTTATCATTCCATTTATAAACCGATCTTTCTTGCTCGTGCAACTTTCTTGCTGTGCCTTCTAAATGCCAAATCCTGCGTGAACAACCAGAGAGTGGATTGGTGAGGACGATGTTGGAAAAATAAAGAAATGTGAGACGTGGGCCTCTCTGTGGGATTCGTCAGCAAATGGGACTGGGCCTAACTCATGAAACCGAACTGCAAGCCCGATTCTCCTTGTAATAATGGGCTGGGCCAGGAAAACCACCATGTGCCCCGAATTTTCCCCCTAAAATTGTCTGCAAAACTTATAAAAGAGTATTTTTAAGTTAAGAAAATATATTTAAATTACTGAAAGGTACAATTACATATACATATACATATACATATATATATATAATATAATATAAAAAGGTACAGGGTAGCTTGACAGCACTAGTACTACAGGCGCATTGTGTAAAAATTTTATTAAAAATATCCAAAGCTTAGCTTGACACCTATGAATATCCTCTCGTCTCCTCTCATACGTAAATGTCCAACGCAAAACACTTGAAAAGCTGGCTTGGAGAAAATAGCAGCTAGAAACATGGACCAACGGGGTAAGAATTTATATAAATTATCTGAGAGTTTTGATTCAAGTTCAAATACATGCGCATGGCTTCAACAATCCATGCATCTACAAATAATGTTGGAATTCTAATACAATCCGTGCTTATTTGCATCTTTGAACTTGCTTGTCTATGCTTTAGATATTGAATGAATTATTTCATTATAGTCTAAACTTCATGCCTCGAGAATAAAGGCCCCCTTCGCAAGTCTCTCCATGCTTGTTAATTCAAGCGTCCACAAAAATCTCATTTAAATAGATGTAATGCTTTGTATTTCTCAATTCTTTGTTTTAAGTGGTCGCTTAAATTTCAATTCACATTTAACAAATCTATATTTAGAAGGTTCAACTATTTATTGAACTTGACAAAAACACATTTTAAATATGATTTAGATGCACTTTTGAGACTTATCTAAACAAACCCTAAGTTTTGGCTTGCATATGTTATCGGGTGAGTCTTAATAGTTGAGAGATTCATAGGTATCTCGTCTCATGTTAATTCATTTTAATTTGTGTGTGTGTGTGTGTGTGTGTATATTTCATAGGATATGCTCAATTAATATTAATAATTATTAAATAGCATACGTTCGAAGAGACGCGAACAAAATGAAGACTAAAGAGCCTGTTGAATTTTTCTTTGAAATTTAAAATGGTAATTGTTAGAATTAAAACTTCAAAGTGCAGACAACCATAGCATGACTCCTGAAATGTTGAAGAGCTGGAATCGGAAAAGCTTCCGGAAATGGATAAGGGATGGGTCCACACTGAAATAAACAGTTGAGGGTAGTTTTATTTCAGAAACAATTACATTAAAATTTTATAAAAAATTAATTATTATAAAGCCTATTGACAACTAAACTAAATTATAACAATTATTTATCAATATAATTTAATTTAATTATTAATAAATATTATAATAATTAATTTTTTTACATAAAATTTGATTGTAATTCTCTCTTTATTTTAATATATGAGACATTCTAATAAGTAAAGGCATTATATTTTAGTTGGCAAGAAAAATAAAAACTCATTCACCTACATTATTCATCAAATAGAAACTGTCATTTTATTACTGGCATAATTCCTCATCTTGTCAATTATCGTGTATTTTATTATCTATAGGCGAGTCGACCCTAACAATAACACGAGTTTTTAATAATCAACATTCGAAAAAAAATGTCAACTTAAAAATTTAAAATTTAAACTATCTATATTACACTTGAATGATTATTCAATTCTTTTATTTTTTTTTATTTAAGGTATGCTAAAATTTGTAAAACTCCCATAAACTTTAAAACAATTGTACATAATATCTTTATATTTAAAAATTTAAAATTAATCTCTTTAATCTTTTAATTTTTACCCCAAACTTTTTTATTATTATTTTTTAGTTAACTAAAGTTGTTATATTGTATCAAGAAAAGACACGGAACAACTTGTTTAACATTTGATGTAAGTTAATAATAGTTTTATATAAAAAATTATTCATATTTTTTTATTATTATTAACTTACATCAAATGCCATAAGTTTAAGTGTCTTTTCTTAACAAGTTGATATAACATGATAATTTTTATTAATAAGATAGGTAAGCAATAACAATAGTTAAGTCTGCAGTAAAAAAGTTAGAGAAATTAATTTTAAATTTTTAAATGTAAAGTATTATATATAACTGTTTTAAAATTAAATTAAATTTAATATACTTTAACCTAAAAATAAGCACAATCAACTTTTGCGTAAATTATAGCTTAATTATAAAAAAAAAGGTCAACAATGCCTCTCAAGATTTAAACAAATTAAGGGTTGAAATTATATTTCTCAGCGCAAAATTAATTTTATTTGTCATCGCGAAAAAGTAAAACTAACATAAATAGAATAAATTTATTTAATTGTATTTGAATTCAAGAATTTTGAGATTGTGTTTCAAACTTTCAATGACGGAATGACAATTAACAAAACGACATGGAAGGAAGAACGAGCAGTCAAACGACGTCAAAAGCACATTGTTAACTGTGTCGTTTATGTGGTTCTTGGTGATCCAGTTTCATAGGCCAGCCCACACCTACCTATGTCCGATTCGCAGGGGAGGCTGCGAAACAGTGAATAGAATAGCGAGGAGGGACGCGGGAAGGGGATAGTGGTCAGTGGATACACGCTTTGGTTTTACCTACCCGCCTCTCTCTCTCTCAGTTTGGTGTCTTCTCTGTATATTTTATTTTGTTTGGCAGACCCAAGATACCCCATCTTTTTGATTCTTCACCGTCGCTTCTGACTGCTTCTCCTCTAACGAAGCATTGCTTTTGCGTCGCATTCGCCTACGGTTTTACTGATCACTCCTACTCCCAAACGAATCCGGAATATCTTGTTTTTGACCTTTTTCCTGGATCGAGAGTAGAGTTATTCCTTTGAATTTCTTTTTTGCTCGTAGACGAATCTACGTCTCCTATATATTCTTTACGCGCCTGAATCCATGAGAGCATTGGATTTGGGCACTCAATAAACCCTAGCAGCCAGTTTGTTACAAGGTTCTGATTGATGGGCGGGAAGGGAGTTCAGCTATTTGATGATAAAAGAGATGGATTTTTCTCTGTCTGCAATTTGGGGTCACGGCGGAACCTCCAAGACGAGTACTTGTATCCCGGAGGCTTATTTGCGAGCGTCAGTCAGGTAGGAATGGGATTTGGTATTCAGCCGCAACCCCAACCCAACCCTTCTGATTCCCGGGACGGTGGCGGCTTGAAATTTCCCTACGCTGAATTGTTCGTCAAGTATGTGGAATCACCGGGGAAAGTTCGTGTTACTGGAGTTTCAGAGGAGGAAGGAATTCAGAGCAAGAAAAAGGGAGGCCTTAAAATGAAAATTGAGATAAAAAATCCTTCACTGAGAAGGCTGATTAGCGGCGCCATTGCCGGGGCAGTCTCCCGCACGACCGTGGCACCGTTAGAAACTATAAGGACCCATTTAATGGTGGGGAGCAGTGGCCATTCTACTCTTGAGGTTTTTCACAATATTATGAAAACTGATGGTTGGAAGGGATTGTTTAGGGGTAATTTCGTGAACGTGATTCGGGTTGCACCTAGTAAGGCCATAGAGGTAATAAACGTGGTCTATATTTCAAAATCCGTTGTTCTTACTTGCATTGGCTAATTTCAATTGATAGTTCATTTGGTCGTTTTTGAGGGATCTTCTTTGATTCTGCTTTTGAAGACTTATTGCCTTTCTCATCATTATCTTTGATGGACATGTGCAGCCTTTTTATTTGATTTAACTACTGAATGCTTGGTTCTTGCAGTTATTCTTCTCATGGAGTTGGTTTTGGATTTTGTTGGCCATTTAGAGATCTTTTTAATTTGAAGAATAATATTTTTTAGAGATCATTGAGGACATAAAATCATCTATTCTTATGGGTAGAGATTTCATTTTTCTTTTTCCTCTGTCTGATAAGATACTGGAGTATCTTGTATTGTCTGGTCACTATCATTTTGGAGGCATCATGAGGTTTCTACTTTCTAGCTGCATTTGATGCTAATTTGTGACCAAAATGTTTTTGTTATTTTGTCATCATTCTAATATAACATCATTCTTTAAAATTGTCTACCTTCTCCCTTTTATGATTAGCAGCTCTCTTTCAATGTAAGTTCCTCCTGCAGAATATTCCAACAATTCAATCGATTTGTGTATGGGTTGAGTGAATCCACTGACTCTCGTTGCATATGAATGCCTCTCTCAACAAACTAGCCAGTTTCTTTCTATTGGACTACTGACAGAAGTAGCTTGTCTTCATGAAAAATGGTTTATAACTTTCAGATAGCATTTGTCGATGTTCCTTCCTCTGGGATCAGTGTGACAATTTCCTGGATCTATCGTGAGAATTATTGTCTGTCTTAAATTTCAGTAGGAACTGTTATCTCCTTGACGTTTTCCAAACCTGTAGCATTTGGTTCAAGGCTTTATTCGTTTTGCTTTGTATTGATACCCTTTCATATGAATATGATAGTCATTTTCTACTGTTGTGGGGCTCTGGCAGTTTTATAGATGCCAAAAAATTGGCTTTTGTCTTAGGTAGTTTTTGTTTCGTCTTTTCAGGAGATATGTAATATAATTGTCTTGCCCCAACTTGATATATCATGAGTTTTCTTAATTTGATTTAAGGACAATGTACCTAACATGCACTCAAGACAAGTAGGTGCTCTTTTTTGTCTGTTTGTTCTTGGTGCAAGTTTATGGAAGTAGGTGCAAATATATGCTTGAAATTGTTGGAGTAATTTGTTTGTTTGCCAGACAGTGATGAAATTTATACATTGTTGTGTTTTGTATCTGAATGTATTTTATGGTGTTTTTGCAGCTATTTGCTTATGATACAGTGAACAAGAACCTATCCCCAAAAGCCGGGGAACAGCCCAAACTTCCCGTTCCTGCATCATTAATTGCAGGTGCATGTGCTGGAGTTAGTTCAACCATATGCACATATCCTCTTGAACTGGTCAAGACTCGACTAACTATACAGGTAAGTTCTTTCAACACATAACATATCATTTTTGGCTGTACTTTTGTTTTGTGTTTTAGCATCCTTCCTTCCTGAACTTAAAAGGGGAAAACAAAATTAAGCCAAGGTAGTAATCTTGCAGAGAGGTGTTTATAATGGTCTGCTTGACGCGTTCTTGAAAATAGTTAAAGAAGAAGGCCCTGCAGAACTTTATAGAGGCCTTGCTCCCAGTCTTATAGGGGTAATTCCTTATTCTGCCGCTAATTACTTTGCGTACGACACGTTAAGGAAAGTATACCGGAAGGTTTTTAAGGAAGAGAAGATCGGCAACATTGAAACCCTTTTAATTGGATCAGCGGCCGGGGCCATATCAAGCAGCGCCACTTTTCCTCTGGAGGTAGCTCGCAAGCATATGCAAGTGGGGGCTCTCAGTGGAAGGCAGGTATACAAGAATGTGATTCATGCACTTGCAAGCATACTTGAACAAGAAGGGATCCAGGGTTTATATAGGGGTCTGGGACCGAGCTGCATGAAGCTGGTGCCAGCCGCTGGAATCTCTTTCATGTGCTACGAAGCTTGCAAGAGGATACTGGTGGAGGAAGAAGATGAGGAATAATCGGTTGAGTCACACTTCCTGGGGCATTATTGTTGGAGCTGAGGGTTGGAGATGCCAAATTCCCCCCCCCCCCGCCTTACTGGATTTTTTCCAACAACCCTTGAGAGAAGCAAACGAGGATGGAATAATAATGAGTTCGGTGTTTTTTTTTAGAAAAAAATGTGGGAAATTTTACTCTGTTGAGAGTTCATTCTTGGAACTATTGTGGGTTAGTTCATTTTTCGAACAAGCAGTGAAATTTTGCGTCGCCTAATTATCATACTGTGTTGTGTTCCATGCCAAGTGATGAGGCCTAGTAAAATTGTAAGCATGATTGATCAGCGCCAATGGAGTTTTTAACCCTACGTTTGAACGAAGGATCATCAGGTGATGTCGCTCCGGAGTTAAAAGGTGTCGTGGAGTTTCGTATTCTGATGCCACGCGATAAGCGTGACTTGAAAACCAATTATGCTTCCTTGTAAATATCGGAATTGGAGGCTAATCATATCATGGGACGGTTTAAGATGACCGATTTAACCAAAAGAAGATCGAGAAGCAACCTCAAGCAACCAATCTTATGTGACCAATGGCAATGATGAATAACAGTAGCACGTGATTTCCCCCCTTATGAGCACGTGGATTTTATTTTATAAATCTGAGAAAAATTGTGAACCAAGCCCTTGGCACCGCCCGCCGAGTAGGGCTGCACAAAAGACAGGACGGCACTGGACTTCACCCTAATCCGAAGTCCGGTCTCTTTCATGAAAAAGACTAGGTTAGGCAACCCGTAGTCCAGTCTTATCCAGTGATAACCCGAAGATTAACAGGACCGGACTTGGTCCATAGGACTGGGAGACTGGTCCTGTCAGTCCAATATTCACTTAGCTTTTTTTCCTTTTTTTATTCTATGAGAGGCAATAATCCATTCCAACATACTAAACTCAATTAAGATAGTAAAAACACTTATAATGATAATAAATCCATAATAATTTCTAACAATAAGAAAAAAAAATATTTCTGTTATAGTCTAAATTATTTAAATTTATAACTTTAACAAAAACAGTACTCAACAAAATTCAACAACACTATATTACAATAACAATTTAGAAACAAACTTAATAAATCTTTATACAATCATCTCCTTAGCATCAATTACACTTTAAATATTTGTCAAAAATGAATTAATTATAATTATAATAAAAAAATTAATAGGACTGGACTGGACCAAGTGGTCCGGATGCCTGGTCTCTTGTCCAGTTCAACCCGAAAAAATAGTCTGGTCTTTTTAGTCTTTTTGGTCCTGAAGGACTAGTGACTATACAAACCGAACAAGACTGAGACCATCTCGGGTTGGACTGGACCAGACAGGACTGGAAGACTTTTGCACAGCCCTACCGCCGAGTGAACAGAAAAAACAACATGCAAAAATTCCAGATAAGGACTAATCAAACTTGGCTGTCTTCCCCGGCCCTATTTCAATCTGTAAATCCAAGGTCACAATTATGGATACTGGTACCTCTGTGTTCAAATTGAGACTCCAATACAAACTATGTCGAAGTCGATGTTTTAACGTATGACATGATCTCCCCCCGCTTTCAAAACAGTCGTCCTAAATTAGCGTTCATGTCAAAAGAGGACGTCATGTACGATATCATCAGCTCCCATGAGCATCAGGAAATGTTGGTTGTGCTGCCACTTTTCTCCTGGCTTGTTAAAGTAATACTCGTTCATGTAAAAAATATACCTCATTAAATATATAAGAAAGCCATGTTATTTACACATTATCAACGACGCGTTTCATCAATAAATCTAGGCTTTCACTTTCACCAATTCGGTTCATGTCTTTCACTTTCATGCAAACCTTGAATGAATCTCTTTTGAAGTGACGACTTGTTGACTTTTATACAAAGGTTGACTTTTCTTTTTAGGTTATTTATAAAAAAGACAAAAGACAAAAATACTCAACTCCACCAACCTCACAATACGACAAGGTTCCATTCCCCCAACACGCACCGAATAGCACCTTGCTTGCTTCCATTAAATTATTGGCATAAATAATTCGTATAATGTGAACAAAAATGATCACACGGACGCAAACAACTAGTACAGCCCAACAAAATTACCTCGTCAGACAAAAACAAACCATTAAGTTGGGCAAATGCCAAAATGGGGCTTTCATGCTACAGAACCCTTTCCACTTGAGACAAATCCTCCAGGTAACCTCCGATAGACTTGGATAATTCCTTCTATACACATACGTAACGACTTTCAGTCTCTGCTACAGAATCCTCATCTTCAACATAACTTAGCAGTCGATGCCACATTGACCATTGGAAGAAGCTTTTGTGCTGTGGGACGTGAAGGGATCGATCCTGACCCATAGCAAAGAGAATATGGAAGCAAGAAGAATAGACCAAACAATAACAATCGTAGGGGTACGATTTTGGCGACCCACGAGACCCTTCAAGAATGGATATAGATGGGCAATGACCCATATAGCAAAAAACAGCTTCCCAAATAGTGGTCCCCATGATTGGTAGCCACTGTTAATGGCGTATGAGACACCAGCCACAATGCCCACCAAGTTTACAATAAGGACTGTTGTGGGAGGGATGAGAAGTGATGTCCATTTGAACACATAAAGCTCTGCGAATTCCCCATCATCATCCGATGCCTTTGATGTGACTGTGAAGTTTGTGTCAATCCCAGCTAGAACTTTAAGAAGCCCTTGGAATACGGCAAAAAGATGAGCAGATGTACCGCCAATAACCCAGAACTGTTCATTCCTCCACCAGTCTTCTATACTGACCCCACTCCACCTAAGTTCCAGAATTGAAGTTGCAAAAATGGAGACAAACAGTAGAATGAACCACATGCTAGCAAAGTTGCTTATCTGCATTTAGGAAGCAATAGGTCATTCAGATTTCCAAGACAATGGAGTTTTGGTATTATACACAAGAAAAATGTGATGAAGAAAAGAATTACTTACCTCGGGAATAATAAACTTATTTGTGAGAAGACAAAATGCAGGAAGAGTACAGTAAGCAATCAGAGGGATTGAAGTAATAGGGTAGACAATAGTGTTAATATAAGCTAGCCTCTGAAGAAGTTTCAGTCTCCCATTGTAGCCGTACCACAAGGGACAATGCCTGCTAAGAAAGATCTCAATGGATCCCAATGCCCATCGAAGCACCTGATTGAGACGGTCAGAAAGATTGATAGGAGCAGAACCTTTAAATGCTGGGCGCAGTGGCATGCAGTAGATCGAAATCCAACCTCGAGCATGCATCTTAAACCCAGTCAAGATATCTTCAGTCACAGAACCATAGATCCATCCAATCTGGCGGAGACAGAAAAAGGTTTAGTTGATTTGTCAAACAATTGATAGTTGCTACGCATTGATCTTACTAAATGCAGTAAAGCACAGTGATTACTTGCTGAACTAACCTCTTTGCCCCATTCTGTCTTGTCTTCATAGCCACAGCTTATGACATGGATTGCTTCCTTTAAAAGAGTTGCAGGATTGGTTGAAGGTGGAATGCCACCCTGCTCCATGAAGGTGGCTGCAATAAAAACTGGGGACTGACCAAATCGCTTCTCTAGGCTCTTTTGAGACATCAGAAGCGAACTCTCTTCATCATACGCTGCAAAAGGAGAATTCAATTAAATTTCATAAAGGATGTAAACATTCTGTTATCTTCGTTTTATCTTTCTGAAAATTGTGCATACAAGTCCAGCAAATAGATTATAGCAAGGGGAAAACAACAAAATTACAGGATGGTCAAATCAGGTCGCAGATAAAAGCAGCAGTAAGGGAAGAGATTTCTGTGATAGTAGACCTTCGATGCCTTCCTCGATGTCTTCGGTATTGAAGATAAGAATGGTGGATTCAGTTCTTTTAGCTTCCCTCTTCTTGTCAATGTACTTCTTATTGCCACCTTTTCCCTTTCTCTGAGAACCCCAACAACTCTTCACGATAATGTTTGGCTCCAAATCTTCCTCGGTCAAAACTGGATCATAACCATATAGAGCTTGCCTGTTGAAACAACAACCAGTTCCAACATAGACTGGGCCCTGGATACCATCCAGACCTTTCAAGTTGATCTGATAAATAACAAAAAGGAAAAAATTTAGACAAAGAAACTGAGGAAAGCATGGGGAAAACAAATTTATTTCTCTGTTCAACTTCACAAAAAATAAGGCAAGGCCTACATCAAAGAACACAATGTTGCGATTGGCATATCGATCATGCACATCAATGCCATCAAATCGCTGTGGGAATTGTACATAACAAGTCTTCTTTCCAAGAACAGGATCCATCATGAAGCACATCGCCTCTTTAAGAGCTTTACTATTATTAAAGTAGTGGTCACAATCCACGTTCAAGAGATATGCACCATTAGTCAAGACAGCTGAAACTCGAATCTACATCATATAAGATAATTCAAAGTTAGGTGTGGAAGCTTTATTCGAAGCTGATTATTCTGGTTAAAGGAAGGACCAAAAGTTAATCAGTTCTTGCCAGACAGAATAAGCTCATTGTGCTAGTTAAAAATAATAGTAATAATAATAAATAACCATCCATGTAGTCAACTAACATACCTCAAACAGCTTCAGAAACTTTGACCCAGCATATCAATGGGCAACAATGAATCATGGAAACAGTTTGTAGGTTATTTTATATTTATGTGTTTCTTAAACATAAGTTGATCACTGATTAAAACCCTATGGCTACAAAAGCACATAAACTCAGTAACTGCATCCTTTAAAGTTGAAATACAGTTATTCAACAAAGAGATGCACAAGGTAAAACCATAATCCAAATTAAGTAAGAAGATTTTGCATAACAAACCAAAGCATTCATAGCTCCAGCCTTCTTGTGATGCTGGAAGCCTGGTCTCTTCTCACGAGAAACATAAACAAGTCTAGGCAGCTCATTTCCATCTGTATCAAGCCCTCCACTATGACCTAAGAACACCTGTACTCAAATGAAAGAACTATTAAATGAAAACACGAGAGAAAGCACAAGTCAAATGTGCAGTTGATAATTCGCAGATATAATAAAACCTGTATCATTCCAGGATGATCCCTAGGATTATTTCCAGGCCAAGGAGTCCCATCCTGCATAGTCCAACCTTCTTCTGGCATCTTCTGAGCTTTGGCTACAAGGGCATTAATACATACTTTGAATTCCTCATATTCTCTCTGTCAATCAAATTGGTCAGTAGTTAATTTTCTTTATTAATTTACATAAATTAATCACGCATGAGAGCAGCAAAGGGGTCAAGCATAGAATATTCCATAAAAGACTGTCCTTATTATCAGGGAACTTCTTATTTTTTCTCTGTCAAAAACATTTAATATTCAAACAACTAATAAAAGTTGCGACAATAAGTGGCAACAAGCAAGAATTGCATTCTGTACTCTTAAGGATAACCTTCATTGCTCGGCGTTCCTTCACAAAAGAAGGCTGAATCTTGTCCTTGAGGTAATCTATCTTCTGGCAAAAATAAAATTCAGGGGCTCTTGGTTCAATGTTGTGCTTTTTGCAAAATGGCACCCACTTCTTTGCAAACTCAGCTGTTTCTGATAGAGCTTCAAAGGTCAACATAGCTGAACCATCATCTGATACATAGCAGGAAACCTTGTCTACAGGATAATCAACAGAAAGTATTGACAAAACAGTGTTTGCAGTAACAAGAGGAGGCTCCTTGAGGGGATCCACTGTACTAACAAATATGTCAACAGGAGCTAACTGTGATGGTTCTCCTTCACGATCACATCTAAACGACAGAAACTCAGCAAGACAGTAAATCTCACCTTTTACTTGGCCAAAACGCACATAACACAATAGGCATATAATGATTGATCCTACCTCAAAGCCAGCCTGTCAACGTAAGTCTCCCGATTAATGGGAGACCATTTTGGAAACTGATCCAAGAGCCAGGAAAAGGCAAACCAGATCTCACAGATGACTGATGTCAGCCAGAGGGGATATGCACCTTCCACAGGGTGAGTTGTACGATATTGTAAGAAGAAACCCAAAATAATGAGTCGGAGTATGATCACAACACGATAAGGGGTCACATGAGAAGAAGGAATGGGCACCACCCGACTCAAAGGCTGTCGAGCATCATCAATCCTGTTGTCAAGGTAAGGGGGAAAAAACAGTGATACAAACTGCAAAAATATATGAAAGCTGCATCACTTTGTCCATGAGTTGTGAATTTGAAATAGAAATAGTTGTATGCTTTCAGCAGGTAAGGGTGGTAAAATGATTAATATGACCATGAATAAAAAAAATCTACAATAATAGGGAGAAGAAAAAATAATGTGTAAGAAAGAGAATGCAAATAACCATAATGAATTGGAATGAAATCCAAAGAAAATAATTTTATCTTTGTACAGAATAAATATGCAAAGATAGACACGATATTTCCAATTTTGGACATCTACTCATTAAAGACGAATCCACATCGAACAGGTGGCTCACATTTGAAGTTCATCTCCATTGGAACCAGTCCCTTCCATGTCTCCCTTCCCATCAGTGTATCTACTAGTTGATGGCGCCATAGTTTTCTCCTGCTTGAGCTTCCACCCCTCAACCCTCTCTTTCCAGTCAACATTACCCAGGCCATAAGAGTTCAGATCTTTGGATGCGTTCACAATCCTCACCGGAACTGAAATAATAAACATTATTGTCAGCCGGGAACCCACCATAACACAAAATAACACCATGCAGATACAGGTGCTTAACTTCAAGTTAACTTCTTACCTGGCTGCCATGGATTATTATAGGGTAGTGAATGAAACTTTTCAGACGGACCCAAAGGACCTGATGTAGTTCGAACAGATTCAGTGTCAGGTGTAGCACATGGAATCTCACCAGACAGCTGCCCATATAATGAAAAAAATTAATGAATAGTGTTGCAAGATGAAGAAGCAAATACCAGCAGAATCTTGTTGATAACTTGGCTGTAAAACTTAAAATGATGACAAGGACATTATCGATGAAGTCTAAAACGTCCATTAAAGTTCAAATTTTATCCCCACAGATAAAAAACATATATCATAAAACATGCTGGAGTGAAATACTTATTATAGACAGTAAAGAAGTACATCATGATATCTCTCGAGTTTTGGTTGCTGAGAATCATGTCTAGAAGATGAAGAGAGGTCGGCATCTTCTTCCCACTGTTGTCTCGCCCTATTATCTCCTTGGCCATACTTGAATTCATTCTCAAGATCATCCACACCATCCTCATCATCGTCCCCCTCCACTCGAGGACTCCCTGAAATCCAAACTCATGTTTATTCCAGAAATAAGATGCAGGATTAGAGCAAAAGCACAAAATTAATTTTAAACACACAAGTTAACCTTTGTGCCTTTTGTATCTAGTCTTGCACTGTGGGCAAGATTGTATCCCATCTTTTCGCTCGTATTCATAACAAGGACGACAAACCGGGAAAGCACACTCATTGCAAGCTACAAAGACATCACCATTGGCTGTTAACCCGACAGTATCCCCACATATTTGACAGATTTGACTATTCATATTCTTCAAGGGTTTCGGCTGCAGTGTAGAGACAGACAAACATTTTAAGATTCAGATTTGTTCAACTATATAAGTAGATGTAGTTAAAAACATCCCATTCACATCAATTCCTCGTGAGAAACATAATGAACATGACATGCCACTCCCACAGGAAGTTTTTTTTAATGCAAAAAAAAAAATTGATCACTACACACTCCCAGTTAACCGATGTCAAGTTTGCTCGCATATATGCTGGCACAGTGAGCGAACAGATCAATCCATAAAGAAAATCAAAGAAGGAACCGAATAATATAGCCATATCCAGAACATTTAACCTGATCAGTACACTCTCCCAGTTACAGGGCCAAAAAATAAAAATCACACTAACCCCACTATCCGAATCGTGGCGAATTCGAACAAGCTCATTCCTGTTGTAGGAGCCAGCCACCATTCCGGCGGTAGCTTCCATGGTGGCCAGGTTTGTATGGTTAGCGACAGAAAGTGGAGATGAATGGAGGCTAGGAGGGAAAGGTACGTGGGTTTTGGAGACAATGAGAGGTAGGCAAAAGCGTTTTTAAGAGTTAGCCCACTCGTTACGCCATTTCACACTGTCGAACTCTTACTTGCAAGCTTGAAGCGGAAGCTGCCCGTGCGTCCTCTTCCTGTTTTGCTTCATTGCAATGTCACGTACATTTACCGGTTCCACCGGTTACTCGTGCGTCCCCCAGTTGGTGTCTTCTGTTTATGACACGTCTCATGTAAAATAAAAATATTGCTATTAAAATTTAATACATAAAAAACTCCTTCAACGATTTCAATGAGAATAACGAGGGTGCGCATATAGACAATGGAGGCCACTTTGGCTCTTATTTTGTAATGAAAAAACCTCCATCAACAAATTTAGCTTCTTGTTAGTTACAAATGTCATTTTGATTTTGTCAGGGAAAGACTGTTTTTAATTTAATCATTGTATAAATAAAATTATTTTGCAATAATACTTCTATATCAATTTATTATATATAAAAACAAGAAATAAGATAAAGAGTGTTTATGAAAAATTAAATTATTATAGGGTATTATTTTGTTTTTGAGAAGTTAAATTGATAAAATAATTTTACATAAATAATCATAATAAAATTGCAGACATCTCAATTTTAAAAGTCAAGATTCGAGAACACGACGAGTGTGTTTAAATTAAAAAATTTATAATTAAAGTTAAAATTTAATTGAGATTAACAAACCAATGTTAAAAAAAAAAATTTGTATTTATAATGTGATCTATATTTAAATATTTTTTTTAAAAGTCAGTTGAACAAAATAAAATTTATTTAAATAATTTAATTAAAAAATCAATTGAGATACATAATGACAAAAATGGACATGAATTTTTTTGTGTATATATTTTTGTCATCAATTTTATTTTTTAAAAAAATATTACACTTTAAATTACAATTTTATTTTTTTAAAAGTTAGAATTTAAAAATCTAAAATAAATTGATAGATTAAAATTTTTAAATTTTTATAAATGCGTTACACTAATTCTAAAAATTAAATTACACTACTACTAACATATAAAAATTATTATTTTGTATATTGACAAATTTCTTTTTCTTTTTGTTTTTTCTGGAGCCTTGTGCAGATTAGGGCTGCACAAAAGACTGGACGGCACTGGACTTCACCCTAACCCGAAGTCCGGTCTCTTTCATGAAAAAGACTGGGTTAGGCAACCCGTAGTCCAGTCTTGTCCAGTAATAACCCGAAGATTAACAGGACCGGACTTGGTCCATAGGACTGGGAGACTGGTCCTGTCAGTCCAGTACTCACTTAGCTTTTTTTCCCTCTTTTTATTCTATGAGAGGCAATAATCCATTCCAACATAATAAACTCAATTAAGATAGTAAAAATACTTATAATAATAATAAATCCATAATAATTTCTAACAATAAGAAAAAAAATATTTTTGTTATAGTCTAAATTATTTAAATTTATAAACTTTAATAAAAACAGTACTCAAAAAATTCAACAACACTATATTACAATAACAATTTAGAAACAAACTTAATAAATCTTTATGCAATCATCTCCTTAGCATCAATTACACTTTAAACATTTGTCAAAAATAAATTAATTATAATTATAATAAAAAAAATTAATAGGACTGGACTGGACCAAGTGGTCCGGATGCCTGGTCTCTTGTCCAGTCCAACCCGAAAAAATAGTCTGGTCTTTTTAGTCCTTTTGGTCCTGAAGGACCAGTGACTATACAGACCGAACAAGACTGAAACCATCTCGAGTTGGACTGGACCAGACAGGACTGGGAGACTTTTGCACAGCCCTAGTGCAGATAATTGACGAGCAAGTCTTCACGCCACATAGACTCAGCATCATCCTTGCTCAAAAACTCTCCATCGTACGAATCACACTCTCCGCTGTCGACAACCTCTTCCTCCATCGGAGCTCTACTGCTACAGATCTTGTTGAAGGAGATAGAGATTGGGCACCTGTGGTCGAAGCAGGGACACTCGATGAAAGGGAAGGGATGATAGCAACACACAAGATAGAGAGCAAGTCTCAACGGCGACGGCTGTCATCACTCATTAGATCCGGCAGACTTGGGAGAGTGAAGGTTGAGCAAGGGATGAGCTACCATGGGACGACAGTAATGAAGAAAGGTTTCGGTTTAGGCTCATTTAGCAGATAATGAAGAGAGAGAGAGAGAGAGAGAGTGCCCCAACATTCATAACCCCCAATGCCGATGAAAAAGTTATGGTGATTAGCTTCATTATAAACGCTCATTTGCACCCCAACCGTGGTTGAATTTTTTTTTAATATCCAAACATAATAAATTGAGCTTTTAGTATTTCAATTTAAGTTTGGGTCATCCCAAACTTAGTTGGATTGTAATCCAAACATGCATGACATCTTCCTCAGAATTACGTAACAAATGCGGCTTGTGACTTGTGAGAAAGAAACCTACAGCTGGCGGTATGCCGGGATCCTCGTCCCAAACTCCATTTAGGGTGCTTGCAGGCATCAAACCGTTCAAATGAAAATGCCCCGTCGAACTATCATCCGCTTCACAAGTCTACCCTAAAGTTCCTTAGTATGTCATAGGTTAATTGGTTCTGACTTATTGACTTTGCGACAAGCAACGTGATGTTTTCCTTCTCAGAGTAATAGGTAATTTGTGATGTGGCTTTGTCAGTTATTTAGCTGAACTACGATATTAAATTAAATATATATGCTGCATCGTGAAAACCAGCTTATATAATATTCAAGAAAAAGCTAAAAGGCAAGAAAAAAGAACTATGTCAACTTCACCAAACTAATAAAATGTGAAAAAAAAAAACGACCATTAATGAAAATATGTGAAAAAAAAACGATCATTAATGAAATAAAACGGGATGAATTCAAATATAGCGAAACAAAATAAAACATTCCATTCTTTAAGATTTTTACTAAAGAAATAAATAATTTTATTTAGTCAATACTTAAAAATTATTATAGAACTAATATATTAAATTAGATATAATTATTTTTTAAATTGTACAGTGAAAGGAAATGCAAGAGAGAGAGAGAAGGATGCAAATAATTTAGTAAATTGTTATTTATATCATAGCATTTCATATTTACCTTCCAATCGAGAGGCAAGAAAAATGAGTTTAACATGGCTTGAATAGTTACCCAAACCATTATAGACTCCGTTAAAAATTTCTCCCGATTTCTAGCCATTTATTCCTTTCCTTTTTCGTCTTAAAAATAACCCCCAAATATTACATAACAGCTTACGTCTTTTGATTAGTCCGGCATTCCAAAGTCTATCTTGTCATCAATTGTGCTTGTATCTCACTCCACTCTTTTTGAGACATAACATCCCCCGAATCAATCAGAATCATCGCGCCAATATTTTATTCAGCTTCTACCTTCTTGTGCTATCATGTTATGTACTATCACCACCGAAATTCTCCTGTGTTAAACAGATGCTGTTACGAATACATATTTAACGGTAAAAAAATTTCAATGCACAGATAGAGAGATAGGCATGTTCACAAATTCATTTCCCGTCTCTAATCCCCATAATGACATCCACCAAACGCAACCTTTTTCGACTTCCAATCTCTACCTATCTTCGTTTATCTGGCCACGTCAAAGGCCAATAATTGCAGAAAGCTCCCGGGAAGATAATGGAGCCTTAACTTCAACGATGGTAAATGATAAACTCATGAACTACAAGGTTCAGTCCTCATGGATATTGGTAGCTCAGTGGTCTTACCTAAAAGTTCCCTCCCCCTTTACTTTCCTGTGTTCTCTCAGGCATCTCAAAAAGTTCCTTCATTTACACCACCACTACCTCCTCTTCTGCTTGCAGTTGTGTTCTTCAGTATCTGCACAATGAAACCACATGCATGTATGATAACGAGACAACATAGAAAACAGCTACTAGACAGGCTGAATTGGACAGGATGAGTATGGTGATGATGAAGAAGGGAATGTGGCAATTAAATGAAGTAGACGAAGTTGACATACATGTCTTAGCATTTGATTCTCGTTCTGCAAAGTGGACAATCTCTCTTCCAGATCCGTGTTCTTCTCCAAGTCCTTAACCCTTGTTTCCAAATCGATCAAGTATGCCTTCTTACGCTCTCTTGCTTGCTGAGCCGAGACTTTGTTCCTCAGCAACCTTCTTCGTTTTCACACCCAACCAAAAATCAATGAGATTGCAAATTCCATGGACGAGGTAATAGAATGAGATCACGTACCTCTTGAGGCGCTTGGTTTCTTTTTCGGCAGCGCTTCTAACTCTCTTCCTCGGACTCTCCCCTCTCCCCTGAACCAATCCTTCAGAGGTGTCCGGCCGGGAAGCTGTCGTTCCGGTTCATTCCCCGCCCATCTCGGGCACCCTTCTGATTTCCTCATCGCTTCCGGTTTCTGGACTACCATAAATTCCGGGGGGGGGGGCTTCAGTCAATAATCTGGGCTATTCAAGACAAGCACACTCTCTCTGCGTAAGAAATGAAGAATGATGTTACGGGACGATAGCGCTGGTTTGGTGGATTTTATGTGAAAGGTAGATTTCCCAGAGATGAAAATCTGAAATAAATCAAATCCCGGAAATAGAGGGAAGATCAGGTAGATTTATTTTGCCAAAATTAGTTTCAGCCAGAATCCGAACACTGCCAACGACGTCTGTTCTGAGACTATAAACTTGCCTAAATGAAAACATTGTGTGCGATTAGAGTAAAAGACATTCCGCGAGGAATCTGACCTTCTTTGACTTCGAGGTGGAGAGCAGAGCTGAAGGATTTTTCACTGCTTGAAGGGAGAGAGCTTGTTGCGGGCTAAACCGTATCCTGCATTCTGGCCAACAAAATAAAATAACAGAACCCAGAGAAGAGAGTTTCCACTTCGCAAAGATAATCACAGAGACAGGGTTTATTATTTGAGAAAGAGAAAATGAGCGGGATGAATAGACCTCAGGGAGTTGGGAGAAGCGTTGAGTGCATGAAGATCTGAGGGCAATGAAAGGAGGAGCGTCAGAAAATGTGAGCCACGAAGGAAGAACACGATCGAGGGCTAGGAACAAGGAATCGTGGGGTAATGTGGAGAGTTGGGAAGATTGGGTTTAAAGCTTTAGATGGAAGGAATGGTACTTGGAATCGGGACCAGCACGACAACATGAGCGCGACCTGCGTCTGACAATGATGTCTCTGCTCTTCCTTCCAGGAAGATCCATCATCGCAATACAGTAGCATTAGTTTGTTTGCCTAAGAAAATTACCATAGGTTAGCTTGGGCAGAGTAGAATTGGGAAAGATTTGAAGAGCTGACCATGGAGGGGAGGTTTCAATGTTTTATTAGCATTTAGCATGGGTATACGTCGAATTTGAATTTAATAATTGTACTTAATATAAATATTAAATGCTTGTAATATTTATATTAAGTATGATTATTGAATTCAAACCCGACATATGCCTTCCTTCAAGATTTAAAATGACTTTAAATCACGTTATTTCCTTGATTGTGTTTCTTGGGTGATAGGAGAAGGAGCTTCCTTTTATTTTTGATCTTTTAATAGTACTCCCTCATAATTTTAATTAAGATTACACGCATTAATAAAATATAACAATAATATTTTATCAATTTATTTTTTAAAATAAAATTATAAATTTTTAAAAATACTCATACATGATTTACAATATCATTTTAATAATCTCTTCACTTAAAAATAGTATTAAAAAAATATCATTAATAAAATTTTAATTTTTTAAATTGTCTTATATGTTGAGATAAAAAATTATTCAAACATTATCTTATAATTTAAGATGAAGAGAATAGTATGTAAACAACAAATTTTTGTTAAATTATACTCCCTCCGTTTCTGTTTATAAGTCATTTTTATCAATCTCATCAATATCAATATAATAAAAGTATAAGGAATAAAAGTAAGTAAAATTTCAAACATGCCCCTATATAACAAATCTAAAAAGTAATATTTTATTATATTTTTTCTCTCATAAAGGGTAATTTTAAAAATGCTTTTCAAATATTACCTAAAAAGACGCACCATGACTTATAAATAGGACTAAATGTACATTCAAAAATGAGACTTATAAATGGGATCAGAGGGAGTACTTCTTAGGTTTTTATTGTATAGTACTTTCAGTTATTTAACACATGTTAAAAATGTTAGTTTTTTTCTTGCTATTATAAAAAAATGAGATGTATTTTTATTTTTATTCTTAACTTTAAATTATAATAAAACTATATTAAATAGATTCATGTTAATTAATAAAAAATAAAATTAAAAAATAATTTAATTATTATAAGGTATTCTACATATTAAATTAAAAATTATTTTTAAAAGATATCCCATAAATAAATTCGGAAAAAGTATTAGGATGCTATAATAAAACATATACCTTTGTGATATGCCACATATTCCTTTTCATTCTCGTGGCGGCTCTAGTTAATCCAATGATGTTGGCATGACAACCGATGCGGAGGCCAGATACATTGAAAACCCAACAAAGATCCGCTAAAAAATGAGATGTTTTTGCTTGGATGGATGACAACTGACGCAACAGTGAAAGATGAAATGACTAAGAAGGAATTAACCGTTGTTTAAGGTTGCCCATTGTCACCCAGCACTTTACTTTCGTTACCATTTCAAGCTAGAGTGTCCTTCTCCTGGGGGATTGAACGAACACGCGATACAATCACAATCAAATTATTTTATCTATTTTTTAAAAAATGAGAGAAGTATTGTTGGCTAACGCCAGTTAAATAAGTGCGGTACTCTAGAGCGTTTGATAACAAAAGGCCAAAAAAAAAGAAGCCAGGCTTTATTTATTTATTTTGGAGTGTCTTTTTCCCTCATATTGAGGGAAGGCAAGGCAAGAGGACCACCTACTCATGAATATGAAGGAGGGCCTCAATCTTAAAATTCCTCCATCTCCCACTTCAATCATTTTGTTTTGTCCCCTGTGGAAGACAATCCTCCCGCCCTTTTTCATTTTGTTTCCTTTGCTCGTCTGACCCATCTCATTCTCCAATCTTCCATCTCCTCCTTCCCCCTTTTCCTTTCGGACATCCTAAACATAAACGGCCACCGTACCAATACGCTGACCCATTTAGCTTCTCAGAGGCAACTCGCCAATTTCAAAAGTGCCTTTTACTTTTATCACTACATGATACTCTTCCAAACTCATTCACAACGCACAGTTTAAAAAATTTATTTTATCTCATTTATAAATTATAGTATGACTTTTTAAGTAATATTTAAAAAATATATTTAAAATTTTATAGAAAATTTTATCTCTTATATTTTTATATTGATATTTATAAAATTAATAAAAATAATATATAGAAAGGACCGAATAAGTAGACTTCAAGTCACATGACAGTGTCCCCACCCGGCCCCCTACATCCAAGTCTAGAGTTAGACACATGAAATCATGAACCTGCTGCCTACTTCGTGTCAAAAGACAAAACTTGACCGCGTTAAATTCTCCCATTGGGCCAATGCTACTATCTGTGCACCCCCATGGCCTTCATGATTCCCCCTCTCCATCGTCAACCTAAAAGCCTCCCACACTAATGGATTTACTTCTTCACCCATGGAACATTTGCCCATTTCCCCCAACATAATCTTCCATCCATTCCCTTCCTAACCTCTTCACAGTTCCAAGTGTTTTCTCAATATATTTCGACAAAACCAAAATGCAGGTACAAAATTTGACACCTGCATCCCCCAATTTAAAATTACAAGTCACTCTGAACTAATTTACACCTTTAATGAGTTAGTTGACATTTACAATTACACATTCTTTTTATGATTACCTTTATTCAATAAAGTGTCTAGATCAAAAAAACATTATTAACAAATACTTAAAAGACTAAAAATGCCTCATATTTTTTAAGGCAATACTTGAAAGATACCTAATAATGTTCAACGAAAAAAATACCTACTGATTTTAAAGGGGAGTATCATATATTAACATATAGATAAACGACGGAGCAAGCTTCAAAGAGCTTCGGCAACAGAACGCCGGTACGGAACTCGATCTTCAGGAACGCCATCCTCTGCACGTTTATCTTCAAACCATTTAACAACTCTCCTCCGAGGAAGGTTGGTCACATGCACGATGCTATTGATCATTGCATTCTGCATAGCAATTCAATGCAGTCACGTGTATTAAATTAACTGGCTCTGTTCCAGGGGAAAGAGTGAAAAAATCTGCCAACTATCAATGCTCATGTTTATATCATAATATTTAAGGCTCATTAGGATAACTGTACAAAATAAAATTTGTTAATACAAGGCCTGATAAGATAAGCATACATGCGTTTAGATGTTTCTGCCAAAGCATGACGGAGTTCCAGCAACTCAAAAGAAAACCAAGGAAAGCAAAAGAGAGAGAGAAAACGAAGAGAAAAATGGAGCATGTCATAAAGTGATACGTCGATGGACGACTTAATAGTTATAACGAATGCTTCTTTATCTTGCAACCACCGTTACTGATGCATAAGAAAATTTACTTACAGTGGGCCGTTTTGTTCTCTTATAAATTCTTTCCAGAGTGTCAACGTGTACCCTTTTCAATCTCTTCTGAGCAGACCATCTACGTTGCATGACATGAACAGGAACCTTAGACTTCGCCTCAGGCTCTACATGATCTGTGCGTATATCTTCAAGAACAGTCTCCGAGGGTTTAGCTTCACGTTCTAGTACTGGTGCTCTGGGCTCATCAGGTAATGACAGACTCATCATTAGAAGATTTGGAGGAGGGTCACGGAGCAAATCAAGAACAATAGCCCTATCAAGACAGAGCTCGGCAGCAAGACTTTTGATCTGTACAATGAAATTAATTTTGAGAACAGAGTGAAGAAGGTTAAGATTAGCTCCTCCGCGTCATAAGTCATATCATATGAAATGACAATTACCACCTTCAAATTCACAACCCTATAAAGCAAAATATGTCTTGAATAATTAGAGATCCTATACAATCACTGTACGTGAATTACATTAAAGGGCAAGCCAGAGACCCAATCAAGTGGCTGCATCTATTTTTTCCAGCTAATTACTAAAATTTTATCAGTCTTGCGGTTCCTGTAAGGATCTTTTTGTTTATAAATTACAATGGAAAGGTACACTTCAAGGGCAGAAAGTCTGGAAGATGATTCATGATATTTACAAATAATAATGGGATAAATGGCTTAAAGAGATGGCTGCAATATTTCCAAACATATTTCAATTCCACAAAGTTTCAAAGAGAATGATTACGGGCACTTAATGCTGACCGGATATCAGGATCACCCAACTATTGGAAGTGTGGCAAATCAAGATGATCTCAAAACTCTTTCAATTATTCAATCACTGTAAGGCAAAATATAATTAAAAGATAGAAAAAGACCACACAACTGAGACAATAAGATGTCCAACAAATCTCTCCAAGATTTTAACAATCATCAGCAAATTCATGCTAAAAACTCACAAAATTAAATAAACAAGACACTTACACTAGTTTTGCGACGACCAGCTTTTAAAGCTTTAGCTAATTTTCGTAGCTGCCAACTTCGAAGGTTCACTTGCCTCCCATCTCCTTCACAATCATCATCGTCGTCGTCATCATCTTCTTCTTTATTAGAATCACCATCAGTTTCAGTATCACTTAAGACTGAGCTTAACAATTCTGCATCATCATCATCATCTTCTTCTTCATTATTAGAATCACCATCAGTTTCTGTATCACTTAAGACTGAGCTTAACAATTCTGCATCATCATCATCATCATCTTCTTCTTCTCCATTATTAGCATCACCATCAGTTTCTGCATCACTTAAGACTGAGCTTAACAATTCTGCATCATCTCCCCCCAGTGCATCCTCTAACTCCCGTTCCAACATGACAAGGTCTTCCTCAGTTATTTCATCATCACTATCGTTGAAGGACATATCATCATTTTTGAGATCTTCTTCCAGTTGCTTGAAAAGAAGCTCAAAAGCATCCTCTTCCTCATACTCCTCTTTAACATGATTTTGAGACAAATTTTGCTGAAGAACAGAATGCACACAATGCAATATATCAGTCATGTAAATAATCATTTGTTGTTATTATTATTATTATTTTTGCTGTTGCAACTATCACTGTGGATGATAAATTTAGTTCATTAAGCATTAGAAATGTTCAATGAACACCTAAAATCCAGCAGCAAGACAGACATATCGTAAGCCACCCAAAATATAGAAGTATCACTAAGCATTAAGTTGCTAGTGAACTGATTGCTCAATTCATAGACTAAGATTTAATCATTTAACAAAATTCATCCATGCAAACAAGTACTATAAGCAGCCTGCAGACTACAAAGTTGAGGCTCAAATATTGAAAAATCAGAGACTTGAAGCATGACAGCAAAGAGAATAAAAGAAATAAATCTCCTATTTTTAATTTTGAGCCTGATAGAAATAAAGTACAGTTGAGGACTCATCGGTAAAACTTAAAATATCTTAAGAGGAAAACCTAGAGGGAGCAGCTAAATATGCAAAATAAGAAACTTAATTGAATTGTTTGATTCAGAATTTTGAAATTTTAAAATTTTTTTTCCAAAATTCTAGTTCAGGAAAAATAAGACGTTTTCCTTCACATGTAATATTATCATGTTCATTGAGCTAATTAGACAAACACAGTATCAATATCGGGAAGTTCATCTTCTCTTTCAAATGGCAACCAATTTGGTTCAACCAAGCACAAATTTATAGCGATACAGCTTCCAATGCTAGAATAACCAGTCTCATATACTTGCTTAAGGTCTTTTCAGGCAAATAGGAATAGTTGAAAGTACTTCAACGATATTCCCACTGCCCGGGCCAAAAATTACAGAGGCGAATAGTTCACCTTCTTTTTCTTTTTGCGAGAAGAAGATGCAGCGACACTGACAGAGCTGATGTCTCGACCACCAGGGTATACTAGGATGGGGAAGGATAAAGGTCTTCGTGACAAAGTCAGGCTACCCACATTGAAACGCTCGCATCGAGCGGATGAGAAACGTTGAACGGCTATGGATTTGGTGCATCCAGATGAAGAAACCGCAAAAGTCATCGTTTCCTTAGGTTTACCTTCGAGTGGAAAAGCCCTTCAAATCGTCTCTTTTTATACAGTATACAGTTTCGTTTACGAAAGACCTGGTAAATACGGTTAATGTGCTCTGGTAATCCAATCAAATCAAGTGGAGGAAAATAGATTTTAGTATGTCAGATGTTAATATGCTAATGATATTAGTAATATTAATAACAAAAATTTGTTATAAATTAAATAATTAAAAGATATTCACATATTTTAATTTAATTAAAAATAAATATTTTATATATAAAATGTTGGATATATAATTTGTTTTTTTTTCCTTTCTTTTATCTGATGACAAAGTCTCACCATCTCCATCTCTCTTCCTTGCTTCCTATATTTTTTTAAGGAAAATTCCTCGTTGGCAGTATCACATCTCTTGGATAATTTTTTTGACGACCAAAGGATAGATCTTGTTATTATTGTTAAAGTTAAGTGGAACACCCCTGTATTTAGTATTGTACCCCATAGAGGTTAAAAAGGTAATGCACACACACACATGCTTTTCTTTTTAAAATACTGTGATTCTAAACTATCCACATTATCATCCGTTTTTAAAATTTTTTTTAAACAATATCAACATTATTTCTAAAATTGATAAAAACTTAAAATTTGTTTAGCAAATCTGTTCTGAAAATAATTTTCTAAATAAAAAAAATTGATTGGTAACTTCTTTTTGAAAAAAAATTATTGAAAAATAAAAAAATAAATATTGTTTTGAAAAATAAAAAAATGAAAAAACCTTCTATATATTTTGAAATTGTTGTTCTAAATAATAAGGAAAAATACAAAAAACACTTTTGTTGTTTTTTATTTTTAAAATATATTTTACAAGACACCAGTTTTTAAAATAATAAAATAAAAATAATTTCAAACAAAACACTATTTTCCTTCGTTCAAAATATTCTCCATAAGGTCTCAACGATAACTTTTTAACTAATTCACAATTTTAAATTTAATAGCTTCCTCAATTTATCTAATTAGTATAATAAATTCTATCATCTTAATAACTTCCCCTTGATTCATTTTAGTTTAAACATTTTAAATTTTAAATTTATAGAATTTAAATTTAAATATGAAATTTTTAAATTATGAATAATTTTCATATCCTATTATCTCTATTCTCTAATATCATAACCTCTTTATTTTTTAATTTCAAAACTTGTGATGTATCATATTTTAAAATCATTTACGTTTAAATCAATTTATTTAATTAGTATAATTGATTTTTCTCATTCTAATAACTACCCCTTTAATTCTTACTAATTTAAAATTTTTAAATCTAAAAATTATAACGTTTAAATTTAAATGCAAGATTTTTGAATCAGGAATAACTTCCATGCCTCATTATCTCCATTATCTAATATCATATCATATCATATCATATTCTCTTTATTTTTAGATTTCAAAATTTGTGATGTATTGTAGTTTACAATTATTTTCGTCTAAATTAATTAATCAGTATAATAGATTTTTATTCTAGTAATTACCTCTTAATTTAACTTCTTCCTAATTTTTATGTTCATGGTTTTGCATATTGCTTCACAAATTAACTTCTGCACGTTAGCTTAACTTTTCCTGGCCCATGATCTCTCAATTTGCCAGATGTGTCCCTCAATGCCTCCTCGAACCAGCATGATGATTTCCCCTCCCAGTATAAGCTCCATCCTTACCTAGAGAAAATACAATACGTTGAGATAGCAACCACATGAAGGTGATTGCATGAACACTGGGGGATTATATACCAACCCTTTGACTCCTTCACAATACAACCTACGACAACCACACCAAAAGATAAACTAATACTCCCTCTATTTAAAAATATAAAATATTTTTAATTGAATTTCACTCCTCAATAGAGTACGTTCTTACTTTTAAACTAATTATATTTTTTCATATTTACTCCTATTAAATATCTTATAATAAATATAAGTCAACATCAATAGGGGCATTTTTGAAAAAAAAAAGTAATGATTACACCTCAAAAGATTAAAAATACCTTATATTTTTTTAACATTCAACTTTTTAAAAAATATTTTACATTTTTTAAATGGAGAGAGTATTTAAGATTTGTTATCTCACAATGAGACCGTCACCTTGCATGGGACAAACTAAAATTTCTCCATGAAGTCAAGGACATTATGTGCAGTGATCTTTTTTTTTTTTTGGTTTTTCTCTATTATACAGTGTTATTTTAAAATTCTTATATTATTAATTCTGTATGCAGATCTCTTCTTTTCCAGTGCATTGATAAGGAGTACTGAGAAACCATTTGCCTTCATATCTATATATTGTACAACAAGAAGTGCCTTTTGTTCTAGAAAGAGGCCCTGATGCTTTTAGATTTCATTTTTATGTTACAAAGTCTTTTATCAACATCTCTCTGATGCCTAGGCAATGTGACTCAACTTTCCCAATGTGTATTCAAGACCCGAACTCGGACTGTAAAGCCCGCACAACCCTTTCCCATATATCCTTCTCCACACGGCGTAAAGAGCAGTCGATCAAGTGCTAGCGTTTATCCTGAGGTCCCAGTCATGTCAATCGTTCTCCTTTCAGCACTGGAACAAGAAATACCAACAAGATCGGAACAATTTAATCATAGAGTGGTTTTTAAGTCTACTTCATTTCCTATATATCTCCTAATATCACATTCTCTTTACCAGGACAGAGGCAGTACAGAGGTGTTGGTGTTCAAAACTCCCTTGTATTGGTAAACTAACTCTCTCTGTATGTCTTGGTGAGTGTTTCAATTATGGCAGATTTATCTGTTATGCGATTCTGCAACGAGGGAAATTCTTGAGATTCCCTGACCCCTATTTACGCGGGCTAACTGCGACTCTGATGAGGAATCTGGCTACTCGCGAGAGATGCCACTTCAACAATGGTTATAATTACACGGACAATTCTTAATTGATATTCCAACATATGCTCGGTGAAATTCTGCCTCTCAGCTGATCTCTGCGAGGATCTCAATGCGTCTCCAGGACAGCGATCAATGCAGTTTCTGCTCTTTTGATCACTGTCATGCAGTGTTTACTGCTGTCAAGTTCATAAAAGATGCTCCTAAATTTCGCAGAATCGTGGTTGTGCTTGTTCACCATTACTATAGATATATGTTTGATGAATTCATCATGTAATGCAATTATGATGCAGGCTGGTTAGATGGCACGTTTGGCTATTCATCAGGCCACCGTTTGATCCTTCCTTATTAATTTCGAGGTTGTAGGATCAAGATTTACAAGTAAAGCAAACCAACTCCTCACTAAAGAGATTGTCAGAGAACGTGGTAGGACATGTGCCATGCCACGCAGTCAGGAGCAAAAAGCAAAATTAAAGGGTCTAACAGCAGAAAGAGAGATCTAAAATGACCGAGATCATGCATCGTTTTAGAGAAAATGATAAGGCGACTTTGTGAAATCTCTTATCCTTAGCAATTTTGAGCGAACCACCCTGTCATTACAATAGCTGCGGCCATTATTATTGAAAGCCTTTCTATAGGAATACTGTGGGACAAAATGACCATATCGTCTTACCGACTGTATCATAGAAAAGTTTGAACGGGCAAATTGTGATGTGCATTTTGTTGCCACTAAAAATTTTTCTACACTAGGCAAAATAATAATAATAATAAATTTTCTGTTACGCACGTAGCGATGATGGTGACTCCCAAGCTAATGCAGTAGCGTACGTGGTTATGGGACTAAACAAATAGTTTGTGATATCGATGTAGCCCAAAACCACATTTGCTCCTTAGTTTGAACTTTGAAGCATGGGATTAACTCAACTTTTTTGTCCTTTTTAATTCAATTGTCATTTATATTATTATGCGCTGCGATACTTTAGGTCATATTTCAATATAATCAACATCTATAGTAAATTAATTTTTTATTAAGACATGTACCATTTATTTTTTGAGTAAAAGGGAAATTCATTAAATCAAATAGAAACTGTACAAGATTGCAATCAAAGCAAAAGAGAAGTTAACACATTACAGCAAAGTAGTGATAATGGAAAAAGAGCCTAAAGAATGATTGACAGTGATTCTAATTTGTGAAAGCACATCATTTTTCAAAAAACTCTCCTTAGTGAAGATGCGCCGGTTCTGAATTTCCCATAGCTTCCAGCAAGTAAAACTAATGCCAATCTTCTATGATGTATCAAGACAAGGATTGTGTAGGCAGTCAATGAACCAAGAGCTAATAGGCTTCCCATAGAAATCAGTACACATATCCAAGGGAAGAATTCTCTTCCAGACTGATGCAGCAAGAGGACATTCTTTAAGAGAGTGATTAATATCTTCAAGTAGGCTATTACAAAGGGAGCATTATACATGTTGAGTAAATTTCCTGCGGGCTCTTTCTGAGTTGGTAAGTAATCTCCCTTTAAACATTAACCAAATAAAGGTTCTCACTCTTTGGGCCATTGGTAGCTTCCAAACTCTTGACCAAGTATTGCTTTGATTATTCCAGTTAAGGGATTGTGAGGCCTCATAAGCTGATTTGACAGTAAAATCTCCCTTACTAGTGAGGTTCCAAAAACAAGAAGGGCTCTCAAAATCATCTTGACTGATATGGATGTTGGCAATCTGATGCAGAATGCTATCAGGAAGAAGATGAGCAAAAGAGTCCCACTTCCATCTCCCTTCATTATCCCTAAAGTCCGAGATAGGCTTTGAAAGACTTTGTTCGCCTATTTCAGCATATGATACATTTTTCAATAGTCCAATATCGTCAACCCAATAATCAGACCAAAATTTGATGGACTTGCCATTGCCTGGCTTCCACTTAACATGCATCAATGTGTCTTGCCAAATTTTTGCAATATTTCTAAGAAAATGAGAGCATTTATTTCTATTTACATCCTGTAAGATATTGCCCTGGAGCTGATACTTGCTTCGTAGTACTCGAACCCAAAAAAGATTTGGTTCTGTAACAATCTTGTAGGCCAATTTCGAGAGGAACGCTCTATTTTGTGCTTCAAGGGATAAAATCTCACATCCTCCATTTTTAAGGG